AGGCAGAAATCCTTTTTAGATTAAAAGAACAAGCAAGAACACTTAAGCACTGATGCTGTGTTCCAGTAAATGTTGACTTTGGGTGCCTATCGCTGTCAAGGGCAGCCCCCTAGGATGTCCTCTAGGGCTAAATTCACAGCGGCCAACAGGCCCTTGGACAGGCCCATGTTTCTTAAAGGGAACAGATGGTTAGGGGAGGGCCTAGACACAGAAGCAGATTTATCTTGTCAAGCTGTTATCTCCTGGTAAATGACCTTAAGCGGGTCACAAAGAGTCACATGACAACAGTGTGGTTCAGAGGTCTCATAAGGTGATGGCCGTTCATTAACTCTTCCCTCCCAGGGCCCCAGCGCCCCATTTGGGTGCCCTGTACCTATTTGTGGTCATTGTTGTGTGTGTGCCCATGTGAATGCATTGAATTTTAATGAAGATTTCGTCTACCTGTGTGATCAGGGGCATCCTGGAATATTTCATTTCCGTATTCTCAAGGGATAGAAATTTTGCAGGCCAACTGGGCTGAGGGTCAGTCCTGCTGGAGGTTCTAGAGGGGACCCTGACACCACCCCCTTCACTTGTTACCTCCTGTGGTTTGCACACCTTCTCCCTTCGGTCTGAAAGGCATGGTGGGAGAATGAAGTGATTTTCAGTTTTATTTGGGGCTTTCTTCCTTTCTTTCTTTTTTCCATGGAAGCCTTGTTCTGAGACGCTCTTTTTGTGTGTGTCCTCTGTGCATTTTGTTGCATGAAATACATGCCCTTTTGTGATTTGTCCCCATTACAGAAAACTGAATTCCTTGCCCTTTCAGCACAGATCAGATTATGCGCACGGCCCAGCAGACCTCAGAGAGTCTCTGAAAGGCTGACCTAGTCCCCCTTCAGCCTGGCAACTGTCTTGCTGTGAAGAGTCACTTCAAAAAGCTAACGTTGCCCACACCTGCCTCCCTGATTATTTTTTCCTGTTACTTTATATTCAATATGTTTTTCAAAATGCACTAGTTTTTCTAAAGCCCTTTTCCTTAGTTGCCTCCCCAGTTATGTTTTTTTTTTTTTACCCAGGCAGTGAAACCCTGAAAAAATCCATAACAGAGGTCTAAAGTGGGGTGTCTGTTCAGCAATGGTCTCAGACTTTTCTAGGACACTCTGAGATTGTCTGATATCAGGCCAACCTTTCTATTCACTTCTGAACCCTTCTAGAGGGATACATTGAAATCACAGCCAAATGCAAATCATATAATGTATCTCATCACCTGAAAATAATACCTATGTGTGTTTCCATATATAAGTGTATCCTTAAATGTATATAATATAGTACATTCAATACGTATATATATCTAACTAGGAAATGTATATGTTGATTTTATAAGCAAGGAGATGCTATTGTGTTAGAAGTTAAGGTTTATTTCACATTTGCCAATGAAAACTTATTTTCTATTTATGCCAAGCATAATTTTATAACTTACATACATGTCTAAGTGTAAATAGGGCTAGGCAGACTCTTCTTTAAGAATCATCTTGAGCCACTTGCCAGCAGTGTGGCAGACTAAACGTTCACAGAAAGCCTTTCCAGCAGAGTGCATGTAAAATACCGAATAAAACTGAAGAGGAAAAAGAAAGAAACCCATGTTTTTAAATGCTTGATTGAGCTGGTGGGAAAGTAAGCCTTGCTCAGGGGCCAGAAACTGGAAAGCTGAGAAAATGAGAAATAAGGTGAGATCTGGCCTAGAGGATTTTAATAGACCAAAGGAGACAGAGCTTGGGCCTAACCAAGGTGGGAGATCAGAGAGGAGGCAAGAGAAATCCCTTCACCCAAAGACAATATCCTTGTGGATGATCTAAGTAAAAACTTGGCCCAAAGAGAGTTTTAGGTCATTATAGACAGTCCCTTAGGACTGAGGATGGTTTGACTCAGTAAGTTTTCGACATTACAAGGATGTGAAAGTGATGCACATTCAGTAACAACCACACCTCGGTACCTGTACAACCTCTCAGTTCTTCACATTCAGTACAGTATTAAGTAAATGACATGAAATAGTCAACACTTTATTATAAAGCAGGAATTGCATTAGATAACTTTGCCCAACTGTGGGCTACTGTGAGTGTTCCAGGCATATTTAAGGTAGATTATGCTAAGCTGTGATGTTTGGTCCATTAGATGTGTTAAATTCATTTTCAACTTACAGTGGGTTTATTGGGCCATAATCTCATTGTAAGTCGAGTATACATAAGTATATGTCTTTCTCTGTCTGATCTTTTGGTGAAAGAATGGTAAGTTTAGAAAAAATCTCCCTTGAGAATTCATAACCACAAGCCTTCTGAGCTGAGGGGGTCAGAGTTCATAGCACCTGTGTGGTTCTAAACCCCTAAGTCTAAAATGTAGATTAAACAATCACAAAAAAGCTGTGTATGATTCCATGTATACGCATTCCCTTGAAATTCAAATTCAGACACAGAAAGTAGAATGGTGGTTGCCACAACCTGGGGGAGTAATGTAACTTAACATTACTGAGATGTACGTTTCAGAATGTTTAAGATGGTACATGTTATGTGTATTTTACCACAATTAAAAATTGAATTAATCAGTGTACCATAATTCTTTGTACCCTCAATGATTCCCAAAGAATAAAAAAAAATTGAATTACAAAATTTAAATTTAGTGTAAACTATTCTCAGGTTTTTAGTGCCCCTCCTCCACTGTCTACCAGAAACAAACAAAACAAACAAAAACTAGAGAGGAGAAAAAAAACAAAATAATGCAGCACTCACAATAATTTCCAAGGAATCTGAGCTCATAAAAAAAAACTTTTGTTTTAAAATACAAGAGAATGGTGTGGTACCCATAGCTCAGCGAGTAGGGCACCAGCCACATAACTAAAGGTGGCAGGTTCGAGCCTGGCCTGGGCCTGCTTAACAATAGTGACAACTGCAACCAAAAAAAAAAGTAGCCAGGCGCCTGTAGTCCTAGCTACTTGGGAGGCTGAGGCAAGAGAATCACTTAAGCCCAAGGTTTGAGGTTGCTGTGAGCTATGACACCATAGCACTCTACAGAGGGCAACATAGTGAAACTATCTCAAAAATAAAAAAGAAAGAAAAGAAAGAAAACACAAGGAAATAATTGAGTCCAATGAGAGCCAAAAGAACCCACAAACTATAACATCAGAGTAAAAAAAAAGGATGATATAAATTAGATTTATCAATTTTATCATTTTATGGTTAATATTTTTATAAAGATTGAATTGAAAACACGTTGAAAGGAAAATAAATCATCAAAATCAACCAAGCAGATGTGAAAAGTAAACAAGTAGACCATAATAAGTAAAAAATAACTATAGATCTTAATACTATAAAACAAATAAAGAGGATAAGGACCAGATTGATTCCATTGAAAAGAGAATTAGTGAATAGGAAGACAAAACTGAAGAAATTACAGCTCAGTGGACAGAACTATGAAAGATGTTAAGAGATACAGGATACAGGAAGGGGCTACATGTGTCAAATTGGAGCTTGACCTGTGAGCAGTAAGAAACCTGACAGCGAAACAGTATTTTAAGAAACAAGAACTGAGGTTTTTCAGAAACAACGGAAAACACATCTTCACTTTCAGGATTCCCAAGGAATGCCAAGCACACAATATTAGTTCTTTAATAAATTCAATCTAAAGGCAAATGACCAGCCTTAGCAACACTGTTGGGCTAGTTCATAAAATGAAAAGCAGCTGGCATCTATTTATGTAACCACTCATTTTGCTGGCCCCTGTGCACTAACATAATGTGTAAGGATTGATTGGTGGGCCCCTAAAAGATGTGTCCATCTTCTGACCCTTGGAACTTCTGAAAGTGCCCTTACTTGGGGAAAGGGTCTTTACAGATGTAATTAAGTAAAGGATATGAGATTGGATTGTTCTGGATTATCCAGATGAACCCTAAATCCAATGACAAATGTCCTTATAAGAAATAGAAGACAGAGATCAGCACCTTTAGCTCAGCGGCTAGGGCACCAACCATATGCACAGGGGCTCAGGCTGGGTTCATACCCGCCAAACAACAATGGCAACTTACAACAAAAAAATAGCCAGGCATCGTGGGGGCACCTATAGTCCCAGCTACTTGGGAGGCTGAAGCAAGAGAATCGCTTAAGCCCAAGAGTTTGAGGTTGCTGTGAGCTGTGATGCCACAGCACTCAACCGAGGATGACATAGCGAGACTCTGTCTCAAAAAAAAAGAAAAAAGAAACAGAAGAGTGGAAACAGAGAGGTGAAGGCTATGTGAAGGCAGGCAGGAATTGTAGTTATGGAGCTGCAAGCCTACCAATGCCTGGATCGTTCAAGCAGAAGCAGCAAAGTTTCTCCCCTACAGTTTCTATAGAGGAGGAAGCGTGGCCCTGCCAATGCCTTGATTTCAAACACCAGGCCTCCAGAACAGTGAAAGAACAAATTTCTCTAGTTTTACCCAGTTTGTTAGAGTTTGTTACAGCAGGCCCAGGAAACCAATGCATAACACTAACAATACATATGCTTATTATTTTTTTATAATTGCATTTTCCAAAATTCAGACGATTCAAGCCACAACAGGCGACACAAATGTGAACATTTACATTCGTGGTTTTCTTCTCAGGGTGTAATAATTGACTTTCCCTCTTGTTATATTTGTAGATAAATTCATCACTCCAACTACTGGCAAATATGGAGCAAGTGGAATTGGCAGCCACTGAGATATCACAACGTGAGACCAAGAAGTCAAGCAGACAGTGATACCTTATATGAAAAGTTATGAAGGATGAAGTCTGGTAAAAGAAAATACCTAGAATGTTATCTGACACAGAGTAGGGACACCACGATGATGGCAGCAGTGACTTTTATTAATGTCACTAAATACTATCTTCCAAGAAGTTAGTGGTTATCTCTATGTGATTAGAATTGCATTGATCTGATTATTGCTGATTTCTTATTTGATCATCCATCAATCAAATGGTGGTTTACCCCAATTTGGAGGTCAGCCTGCTTACCTATCAAGGTGTGACATAACTGTTTTGGAGATGTCTGCACCTGCTTCTTGCAATATTCGGATAATCTGAAATGGTGAACTTGGATTCCGTCCAGGATGAATAATAACAGGGCAACCAAGCTGGGCTTGAGCATGAGCTGTTGCCTGAAGAACCTTTCTTTCACTATCAGTCAAAGGCCAGGAGCAACCAATTTCTCCAATAACACCACACTTGATACTGGTTCCATCAGCTCCATGGAGAATTTCATTAATAAGGACACTGGTAAGCTAAGGAAGAGCAAAAATAAACACATGTGATAGGTTGGGAACTTATCCAAAGAGATCTAACACAGGATGTGAATGGATTTATTTATCTAGTCATTCATTCTTTTGAACGTGGATTCAGCATTCTATTCTATTAATACCGGCCAGGGAGATAGGCACTTTGCTGGCCAGTCACAAGTCAACAAGTTATTCTAAATGTAAGAGTTAACAATATCTTACTTAGATTATTTAACAAGAAATGTACAGTAAGTATATTCTGTTTTTTTTAACTCTTTTTTTGGATCAACATAATTCAAGTGTGCCATGGAAGTTTGACTATAGGTTCAAGTGTGCTGCAACATTAAAAAATTGGAAAAACACTGATCTGGAATATAGAAAGACTGCCACCGACTCCATCAATGGTCTCAAGTAATTCTTCAATTCTCTCTTATTGAGATTGCTATGAGCTATGATGCCATGGCACTCTACCCAAGGCAACAGAGACTCTGTCTCAAAAAAAAAAAAAATTCCCTCTTATTTATTCAGTCCTTTACCTTACACCATATAGAAATATACAGCATGCAAAACTACTGTTACACATTGGGGTTCAAATGTATATTTGCTGCTAAGAGTGGTTAGCAGAATGTATAATCCTGTCATCTGCATAATCTTCAAATAATATAAACATATTTAAAAAATTAAGTCCTGATGGCTTGGCACCTGTAGCACAGTGGTTACTGTGTCAGCCCCATACACCGAGGGTGGAGGGTTCAAACCCAGACCAGGCCTGCTAAGCAACAACGACAACTGCAACAAAAAATAGCCAGGCGTTGTGGCAGGTGCCTGTAGTCCCAGCTACTAGGGAGGCTAAGGCAGGAGAATCACTTAAGCCCGAGAGTTTGAGGCTGCTGTGAGTTGTGACACCATGGCACTCTACTGAGGGCGACATGGCAACACTCTATCTCAAAAAAAAATTAAGTCTTCAGGAAAAAACAATGCAGATAAAATTTTGAAATGCAAAGTATTTTAAGGAGCAACTCATCCTTTGCAAAGGCAGCAGCTGACACTCTCTGCTCATCAGACAGGCACTGGGGGGTACAGATGAATATCTCCATATACGTACAAACACATATAAACAGATACATGTGTTTAGAAAGACAGCACATGGATGTCCAAACAAGCTTCGCAGTTTATTCCTTCTTTTTGTCCCTAAAAGATTTACTTCCTTCTGCCCGCTCTTGCTTAAGATCGTATTGTAACAAAAACAGGGAGATGAATTTTCTTCCACCTCTCCTGTTTTGTAAAAGGAGAAGGAAACATTTTCACAAACGAGCCAAATCTCTGCCTGCTAAGTTTTACCCTAAGGTGAATCTTTATTGAAGGTTATTATAAAATCCGGGGGGGTGGGGGAAATGTCAAGGTTGCATAACTGAAGCTAATGATGGAAAAGTGAGGTTTACACCCAGACGGTGGCACCACCCCTGAGTACAGATAGTGATATACACAAACCTAAATATTAACACACTGGGTTTTTCAATGACCAAGGCATTAAGGTCTCTTTCCTTGACATTTTTTCTTTAGGAAGTAAAATGTTTGCTAATTTGAGTCGCCATTGGCAGGTGCCCTGGCCAGCTAGTAAATTTCTGTAGTATGGCCCAGCTACCCCTGAGCCAATGGCATTTTCAAGATTCTGGCTATTCTGAATTTATGAACTGGTATTGTCAAAGAACTTAGGGTTTTCTACCTGCTCCACTGACATGGCTCTGGTCTCGGCAGAGTGAGTTGCGCCCACATAAAACCCAGCTCCAGATATGATATGGACGCCAGTCTCTTCTGCAAGCCTCTTCAACGTCTGCACGTCTCGGCTAATCCCAGAAGTCGTGTTCTCCACCACAGCCCCTCCACCCTGAGCTTTAAAGTACAACAACTCTTCCTTTATGGCTTCCGTTTCCTGATTCAAATGAAGGTTCTCTTTATGGGAATAAGGGTTCTTCTGAATCCAATATAAATTTTTCATCATAATTGGTTCCTTGGAGATAGCTTCATGGCACGGAGGAGGCGGATAGTAGCAGCAGTCGAAAGACATGGTCAGGTGTTCATGGGTCAGGGTGCGGCCCAGTTGGCTTGGCTCCACAAGGCCCAAAACAGTTTGGACCTTCCCACTTAAGGAAGACATTTCTGATGGTACCACCAGGAGACGTTTTCAAACAGGGTTTTCTGGGGGAGGGGGGGGAGAAAAAAAGAAAGAAAAGCATAATCAGAAAATGTAACTCACCTAAATTCTGTCCATGAAGAGTGAGAGGCCGTGAACGTATTCTTACCCATGTAAGAAAGAGAATCAATGAAACTGGAGATACCGTCTCACTTATCACCAGCCAAGGTCAGGTCCTGTCCCCACTGCAGATCTAATGGATATGCCTAGTTTTAAACGCCCCTCATCACTTCCTCAGCCTGACTCAGTCCCAACTACGTCCACTGGAAATAATTCTCCATTGTCAGTTCACACTTTCCTTCATTCAATTTTCTCTCTTAGTTAAAGCTATGCTTTCTTGGATAATTCAACATGGATTTTTCATGTAAAAATAAAAAAAATCTTCAAGTGAAATCAGTAACTTACATCAAACCCAGCCTGGTATCAGTACTGTTTCACCAGCCATTTTTCAGCCCACTGAAATACGTGGCTCACTCTGCTGTTCATTTGCCAGCCAAATGAACATGATTCTTTGGAAGGTCCACTATGCGCCTTGGACTATAAAGGAAATTGGAACTATAAAGAAGCTAAAGACAGGATCTCTGACCTGTCTGAATGAGCAAAGTTTGCCCCCCCAAAACAAAACCAAGTAGGGGAGTACACCTAGGATCATGCAGAAAAAACCCAAACCAAAACTCTCTATTACAGATGATTGATCGCCGAAGGGCACACAGTCAGAAACACCAAAAATACTAAAAAGCGAAAATTCTTAGTCATAATGAAAGCAGCTGTGATTTACTGAGACAGAAATCTGCTATTTCTAAAAAGAGCAAATTGTCCTTGTTTTACTTTCATTTGTAACAGACATTAAGTGTTCACTGATTTCTACCAGTGACAGCAAGATCTCAAATTCTAGCACTTTTGTTGACAAGTATACACCCTAAATAAAGAGATGTGGCTTGTGAAGGAAAGGCACTGCTGAGAGGGTTTGAAGGTAAACACCTACAAGGTCAAGGGCAAAACCACGGCCGAGGCCAGAATTGAGACACCAAGCAGACACGTTCAGAGGATGATGGGAAAAGTCAAGGAGGAACCAAGGAAGAGAGCAGCAGAGAGCATCCTGGGAAGCTGTCAAATGTGCTTCAGAAAGACATTCGGAAGTGGTTATTCTGGCCTCCCCCCATATCCCTTTGATGGCCTTCTCTGACTTTCTGAGACTCCATTTCCTCATTTATAAATTAGAATAACAAAGAACATTTCACAAGTTGTCCTAAGAATAAAGTTAAAGTAGATACCACAGGTAAAAATACCTTTAGATGTGTTTGGCACATAGCCCATACTCAACAAATGTGACCTTTGTTGTGCTATTTCTAGGAGCTAGTATGTATTGACATTAGGTTATTTTATTTATTTGTTTATTTTGCTGAAGACATGATTGATTAGAGGAGAGATAATTTGGGGGAACAATGGAAAAATTTATAATGGGTACAGCACATACACGAGTCAGGGTTGAGACCATGTCAGAGGTCAGAGGGTTATAGAATTACAGGCCTGTTTATATCCAACCAGAACTCAGGTGTCTGACATATATTGGCCCACAAGGCAAAAATGGTTTATTCAGACTTTTTGACAGAGAACTTGTAGCTAACATGGTCGTTGATTTTTATTTGATGCTGTTCTTCTGCAAGCCAAACTTCCAACAGCTGGGTGATTCACACAGTGGCTATCGTGAAAACAAAGAATTACTATATAGCTGCCGGTCACTACACAGGGCAGTATTTTTCACTGATGATGTCTAGGAACTCACTTGTCCTATTCCTTGTCACTGAGAGCAAGTAATGTGTACTTCATCTCCTCAGTTGATGAAATCACAGCACCATTAATAACAGGTGCAGTCTTCCATATGGGTTAACTTTCTTTTTCTTTCTTGGTTCTGAAAGATCTTCGCTGGATGCCCCCCTCCCAGAGCTGGGAGGGGGTACAACATGCCCATGTGCTGTGGTCAGGTAATGCTCCCAGCTCCCTGACACCTCAGCTGAAAGAACTCTGGTCAGCACGGCAGGTGCAGGGGCAGGGGGCGGGGCGTGGAAAGGGAGGGGCTTTGGCACAGTCTCGTCTCCAGGGGGCGCAGTTGAGCAGCTTCTCAGTCAGATCCTCGTGAACCGGAAGCAAGAGGCAGTGGCGGCAACAAGGGAACTTCCGGCCGAGGCGTCCAGCAAGAAGGAAACTTCGGGCCCAGGGCGTCCAGCGTGTCCTCCTAGGTGACTCAGACTGCAGTAGTCCCAGGTAGGGCTCCCAAATGTTGCCAATGATCTCGCCATAGGTGAAAAACCTTTAAACATTAACTGCCATGTGATCTGCGTTTAACTCAGGCTAGTTTGGGGCCTGGGGCCTCATGATGTGAATATAACTCGCATATCTCCTACACAGTGACTGCCGCGCTAGAAAAAAACAAATTTTTTCCTTGGGGCCAGTGTTTTATTAGGACAAGAGAGATCCAAAGACATGTAAGTTATATATACTTCACAAGACTCCAGGCTCAAAAATAGCATGAATTAAATACAACTCACAGGGCAGTTAATATGCCTGACCTAATAAAACACTTTGGCCCCAAAGAAAAAAGTTCTTTTTTCCCTAGTGTGGCAGTCAGTGCGTTAATAATCGATTGAATCTTCCATATGGGTTAATTTCTGTTTCCTTCCTTCTGGCTGCAGCCATTATAAGTGTGTTTCAGGGAGGCAGAAAGTTAGATAAACTGATAAAACTCTATCACTTTTACAAGAAAAGGACCAAATGGCATATTTAATTGATGTATATTTGAAAGAGCAATGTTGGTACGTTTCAAGCTCACAAGCTGTGAGTCTTCGTGAAAAAAAAAAATCACTTAAGAAATGTCATCCCTTCTGGGAAATTCCTCTAATGCTCTCAGGCAGAACTAGCTGGCGTGTCCTGTGATCACACACAATGTAACCCACGCTCAAAGCATAGGAAACGATTAAAGAACAAACTGGAGCCAGCACCGCTCTAAGCTAGAATGTGTCTTTGAATGGGGGTAAAGTATGTATCTAGAAGTCACAGTTTCTGTGTAGCATGGGAACTCTTTTCCACCCAGAAGTTGATTTCTTGTCAACATACAAGCAAGGGGCTTTTGGCCTTTGATAGAGATGAGGGTTCACAGACTAAGGAGGGGAGCAATGAGTGATAAAAGCAGCTGTATGCAACTTTGCAGACAAGAGCGACTACCAGTAAAAGAGCAGACTTCCAGTATTTTCCACAGCATGCATGAAACGCTCCACACCTGCTCAGAACTAGTGGAAAAGGGATTAGCTAGAGCTATAAACACATAGGCCCAAGGCTTTCCTGTGCTTCCGAGGTGAAGTTTGAGCAGCCTGAGAATGAGCAGCCTTTGTGATTACTTCCACACAGCCTGGCCAGGGAAAACAACTCTCCTGATTCTGATGGGTCTGAAATCCAAAAAGAACTGGGGCTTTTAAAGACAAAATTAAAAAAAAAAAATAGAGACAAAGGAAGAGAATCGGAGAACAGTCCAATGACACAGCTGGAAGCCAGAGGCATTATGTAGGATTTGTCTATTTGTAAACTATATGCATAAATTAACTTTTACAGAATATTTTAAAATTTGCCTAACTGTGAAAGATTGGGTGTGGAGGAGTATAGTTGAGGAGGGGGAGGATTTTGTTTTCATCTCACTGAGTTTTCCCCAAGGCTGTCTTACCCCGGCCTGTACCCTTAAGATGATTCTGTCTGCCTTGGTTGAATATACGTTTCACTCAGATTTCTCGGTTCCAGCACCCTTACCTGCGAAGGAGGGAGGTGCCGGTAAATGCAATACATTATCCTTATTTCACAGACACACGCTCTTCTCCTGCTCTTCCCTTTGCCTTACCCAGTCTCAGAACTGGTTGAAGGCACTAAATGCCTTTACAACGTTCAATGCCATGGTCAAATTGGCACATTGATCTTTGGTGAATCGATCTTCAGTTTACTTCCCCCAACTTCTCTCACGATGATGAAAGGCCTAATCCCTGTCATAAATCCCTCATTCCATTTCACTCCTGGTTGTTTTGTTTCCCTGAACAAACCCTAAAACTGACTTTAAAGTGGGAGGAGGGAGGCATTTCAGGGTTTTATGCAGAAGCTATGATGTAAATTGGCTGACAGTTGTGTGGAGAATGGATGGACAGGAGGCCAAGTTTACTTGTAAGGAGGCCAGTAGGGTATCGCTATTATCCAGAGAAAAATCAGGTGGTGGCTTGGTCTGAAAGGACATCAGTAGAAATGACAAGAAGGCATGGGCATAAGAGGAAAAGCAGATGGAACTTTCTAGCAACTTTCTGGTACTGTAAAAGTATCCTCCAAATGAATGGGTATCTGAGGGAAAAAAATGTATTGTCTGGCCCAAATACAGAGTGTCCATAAACTTCATGTGCAATTTACAGTAAATTTCTTTCTTTCTTTCTTTCTTTTTGCACTTCTGTTTTTTGTGAGCTACATTACACAGTGGGGCTGCCCTCTGTGGACGTTGCCCTTAACCATGACATTTGATTGGTGACAAAGTTTTTTTTTTTTTGAGACAGAGCCTCAAGCCATCCCCCTGGGTAGAGTGCTGTGGCATCACAGCTCATAGCAACCTCTAACTCCTGGGCTCAAGCGAGTCTCCTGCCTCAGCCTCCCAAGTAGCTGGGACCACAGGCGCCTGCCACAACGCCTGGCTATTTTTTGGTTGCAGTCATTATTGTTGGTTGCAACCATCATTGTTGTTTGGCGGGCCCAGGCTGGGTTCGTACTCACCACCTTAGGTGTATGTGGCTGGTGTCTTAGCCACTTGAGCCACAGGTGCAGAGCTGACAAAGGTATTTTTTAAAGTGCATCACGTTTTTGAAAGCTTGTTTGAATACCTGCATCACTAGCGCATGTTCCAAACTGCAACGTAACACCTTTCACACAGCCTGGGTCTGGCTGCTGAACAACCAACATGTCCCTTCTTATACAGAGTCACGACATTTC